CCTCCAACAAAACATGGACGTCATCCTCATGAAACAAGGCCTCTTCACACTGTCGGTGTTTCTACTGTGGACGACAGGTAAACTATAGAATTTACATACCATCGACTCTGGTTTATCCGTCCAAGTTTGTACAAATTCACTTTTGCTATACATATTATACACACACAGGTGATGGAAGTGACGTTACCCAGACCTCCATCATATGGAAAAATAAAGGTGAAGATGCAACAATCGACTGCAGCCAAACCAAAGGCGTTTCCTATATCCAGATGTACTGGTACAGACAGCTGCCAGGAGACACTCTGGAGCTCGTCGTCTTCTCAACACTCTTGAACAATGACTTTGGAGGTTTCAGCAACAAGAAATTCTCAGCCAACAAGACTGCTGCTGAGAGCGGGTCGCTCACAGTGAAGAACCTGCATGAAGGAGATCAAGGCTGGTACTTCTGTGCCGTTGGTGCACAGTGATACAGAAGCTGTGAAAGCTGAACAAAAACCCAAACACACCGTCGTCGTCANTATCTCCTGAGCTGCAGGTCGACCTCGAGAACCACAAACTCTGTCAGCTGCAAACTGATTCACAGAGTTGGTGTTGATGCAGCAGCTAACAGGACTAGAGGATGTTTAACAATATATGACATAGCTACCTGAAATGTTTACACTCGTCTGTGAAGTTGGTGTAAAATTATATGGATTTTGACAATTTAGTTGTAATTTTGAGACAGCGCTGCATACGACCCATGATGTTATTGAAAAAAAAAGTATTCATTTACAGGTTAAACAGAAAAAACTGTAACTAATGTCTGTTTTTTTTATTTATTTATTTTTTTATTGGTGGCGATTTGATTTTTACACCATTTGACTGTAAAACGGCACTATTTATATTGTATTTAAATCAGCACAATTATTGTTCTTTTATTTCCTTTTATAATACTACTACTCCTAATAATAATATATTACAACTGTGTAATTTTATTGTCATAAAAAAAATGTAAAAGAACAAAACTGCAAGATAACAGTTCAAAAATATTTACCATTTTTCATTCCTTGATATAAATAATTTTCCTTTAAAATAACAACAATTTAAATATAGTAGAAATAGTGTAATTTTACAGTCAAATGTTGCATAAGAACAAACTGTTACTAATAAAAAATATTGATTTTTGTTCAGTTTTGGGGGTGTTTTTTTTTGCATTTCAAGTAGAATTTAATATTTTTTTCATTATCGGTAATGTAACAAAACATGGGAAATCTGTAAAATAAAAAATACAGCTAAAAAAACAACAGTTTTAACTGAGACTGTAGGTTTAATTTTGTTTTTTAATTTTTTTTAAAAAATGTTTATATTGCCTTACAGGATCAGGGAGATTCACACAAACAGCAACACACCCACCTGCAGCTCCTCACATCTGCATAAATCCAACGACAGATAAATCAGACCGTCTGGAGATTCCAGCGGAGATAAATTCTCAGCCACCAAGCTCATCCCTGAGAGCAGGACGTTTACGGTGAAGAGTCTGGAGCCAGAAGACGAAGGCTTGTACTTCTGTACTGTGAGTAAAACACACAGCGGTACAGACACAGCAGGTGGCTGAACAAAAACCCTGAGCTGTGCTCTTCTGTGTTAATCTGCTGCACTGCTCAGCCCCGAGTTCAACCACAGAACATCTCTCAGCACTGACACTACACATGTACCCCAAATATTAGTGTTTCCATTCTGCCTCGTAAAACATAACATCTCAGATATTATCAGGACAAATCCCTTTTGTCACATGTATGAGGGGGTTTAGATCTCTGGATATCTGGAGCTGAATTATGACCAGTGGTAGATATTTAAAGTATAATTCTAACTAATTGTGATTCAAGATATCTATAATTCCCGTCAACTTAAGACACCTACACTGTCCCACACTCATATTTAAAATATTACCTTGATTTAAAACTGAAATACCAACATCTTCACACCGTTGTTTTGGCTCGTCACAATGAAATGATATCTGGCATAAAAATTATAGATAGTCACAGTCTAACTCTGCTGTAAAAACAGAAAAAGCAATATGATGTACATTAAAAATGATGTAATGCTGCAATGTTCTGTAAATATAATAACTGCAAATACCTGTGAAACTATATTATTTAGCTAATTTAAATCAAGTCAAACTGTGATACTTTATGCTCAAGCATTTTAAGACGACTTGTGAAAAAACATTGTTTTCAACGTTATTTGTTTTGGGTTTTTTTGCTAGTTTTTTGCAGTCAACATGTATTTTTTTGTGATTTACTAGTCATTGTAAGAAATTTCACAAAAATCTGTTAATTAAAAGGAAAAAATTAACAGTCTTTCAAGACTTTATACATTTTTTCATTTCAAATAATGGCAAATATCTGTAACTGCACAGCCAAACACTGAGAACATTTTATTGGAACTACAGATTTGACAGTGACAACAAGGTTCAGCTTTCAAGTGTCCAAACAGACTCTCCCATGTGTGACTCCTCCTCTGTCATAAAGTCAGA